GAAAAGCATTGCAACACTTCTCATTTAAATCGGACTGACAATAGCACAGAAAGACGATTTTCAGTTTATTTCTGGGTATATCTTAATTATCTTTTGCTTATCTTTCTGTTTGAAGTGCCTGCGGCAATTTATGAAATAAATTAAAATTTTATGTTTTTAGGCTTTTCGACCTTAATGGAGTTCCTTTAATAATTCTTTTCGTTTAAAACGTCAACAGCGAATACAGGCATCACTTTTCAATACCTGTAAACTTAGAATATAACACTGGGATATTTTATTCTAGAATTCATCAAGAGATCTTAAAATAGAACAGTAATTGTCAAGTTGAGACAAGAAATTTCCTACGAATAAGTTTCTGATTGTCAGTCTCACCATTGTATGACGTTCAGTATGTAACATGAGCCGCGTCACGACAAAACCAACGTAATGCGTTTGCGACCAGCATGTATCCAGACCAGCCTGCGCATCCGCGCAGTCTGATCTGGATCCATGTTGTTCGCTATCAGTTTCTCTACTTGTTATAGGGTTTGTAAGCGAACAGCATGGATCCTGATCAGACTGCGCGGACGCGCAGGCTGGTCTGGACCCATGTTGGTCGCAAACGCATTACGATGGTTTTGTCGTGACGCGGCTAATTTAATTTGTTGCATTTAACTTTTTAAATCACAAAGGACTATGTTAAGTATGGTGGAAGATTTTCGCCAGGTCGTAGTGCGACGTTTTCGCCACCAAAGTGCGAAAAGGCACAACATAATTTCAGTTTTGTCGCGGATTTGCATTGTTGCACTTTTGCATTATATACTGCTGCATTTTCTCTTTGTTGCATGTTCGCATTTGTGCGCTTTCGTTGTATAAGCGCATGGACACATCAAAGGGAATGGAGAGAGCTTAAACATATGATAACGTATGATTTTAAGTTAAATTTCAATAAAATTCAAAAAATTTAATTTCAATTTTTAATCATTCTACTCCTTTTTTCTGCATAACCGTAACGCAAAAGAGCGAGAAAGTAACATTGCGCAACAATACAACAATGCGCAATCCTTAATAATTTTGCCTAATCTTTTGACTTTGTCGTATCGTTGTGTTTTTCGCATTTTCTTGGCAAAAATACGACATGGCGTATCTTATCCGCCATAGTTAAGGTCAGTGGAGAGAAATCCTAAGGTTCTCATATCAGGCTGAGTAGAACCACCAGTAATGTAGCTGAATGGCTTCCTTACATGAAATAATCAAACGTTCCAAAGGGGTTACTTTTTATGAAAATTGACACATGTGCTTGAAATTATTTAACTAAAAGGTTTTGAGAGCCTTGGAACTTAAACCATCTCAATTAAACGTTCCTTAGCTAAAGTGTGTAAATAAAAAGGAAATCAGTACAAGCGTACCGTCGAAGAATTTCTTTGGCTGAAATTGCAAGTATAGTGTTCTTATTGGACTCTTTCAGCGGAAAAGCTGAAATAAACAGAAGTCCTCAATATTTCGTAGAATGATTTCCTTTGTAATAAAGAAGTTTAATAATAAAGAAGTTTATATTGATGATAATAATAATAATAATAACAATAATAATAATAATAATAATAATAACGATAATAATAATAATGATGATAATAATGATAATGATAATAATAATAATAATGATAATAATAATAATAATAATAATAATAATAATAATAATAATAATAATGTTAATAATAATAATAATAATAATGATAATAATAATGATAATAATAATAAAAAAAATAATAATAATTATTATAATAATAATAAACAATAGCAATAATAATAATAACGATAATAATAATAATGATAATAATGATAATGATTATAATAATAATAATAATAATAATTATAATAATAACAACAACAATTATAATAATAATAATGTTAATAATAATAATGATACTAATAATAATAATAATAATGATTATAATAATAATAAAAATAAAAATAATTATTATAATAATAATAAACAATAATAATAATAATTTTAATAATAATAATGATGATAATAATGATGATAATAATAATAATAATAATAATAATAATAATGTTAATAATAATGATAATAATAATAATAATAATAATGATAGTAATAATAATAATAAAAATAATAATAATTATTATAATAATAATAATCAATAATAATAATAATAATAATAATAATTTTAAGAATAATAATGATGATAATAATGATGATAATAATAATAAATATAATAATAATAATAATAATAATAATAATAATAATAATAATAATAATTAATAATAATAATGATTATAATAATAGTAATGATAATTATAATAATAATTATAGACCTAATAATAAGCATAATAATAATAATAATAATAGATCTAATAATAATGATAATAATAATAAAAATAATATTAAAAATAATAATTATAATAATGATGATAATAATAATAATAATAATATATCTAATAATAATGATAATAATGATAATAATAATAATAATAAACAATAATAATAATAATTATAATGATAATTATAATAATGATGATAATAATAATAATAATAATAATAATAATAATAATAATAATAAAAAAATAATTATAATAATATGTTTACAGTATATTTCAGAATGTAGCACACGTAGATTAAATCATTAAGCATCGAACAATTTACAAATAAACAAATGTATCTTGATTTTTAATGTGGTATTTTGAACAAGAAGAAAATGTTGATATTGTTGTGATGACACTGTTGTGTTGCGACATTGTCGTGTTGATAGTATTGTGGTGATATTATATATAATGTATTGTAATGATGAAATGACGTGTTGATAGAGTTATTATAAAATTGTAGCGTTGATATTGCTGTGATGATATTGTAATGTTAATGTTGTTGTGATAACATTGTTATTATAACCATGGAGCTAAATATAAGATATTGTTTATATATCTGTGTTATAACATTGCTTTGTTGAAATTGTCGTGATAAGATTGTTATGTTGACACTGTCGTGTTGGAATTGATGTGATGACATTATTATGAAGACATTGACATGTGTTAAACAGAGGAAAACGTCGTGTGAAGTTTCATAACTATGAAAATATGTAAAATATTTAACTGTATTACCTTTACTAATTATAAAAAAACGAACCGCATGCGCAGTGGAGATATTGCTTCGAGCAAAAAATCGTGATTTTAAAAAAAAAGAAATTATTTTTTACGATTTCACAATAAATATCATTGATAATTGAGCTTACAGGGCATGATTTTCTTTTTTGACCTCAACTACGCAAAACTTGATCAATAAGCTTTAATCTCTGAAGGAAAAATGATCAACGATATCTGTGGTGACCACAGCGCTAAACGCAATTAGGAAGGAACGTATATAAAGCCGCGCGTTTCAATAAATTGGCCACTGATGTAATTTCACTTGACACGAGCGGCAGAAAAGTAGGGAATCAAATAATTTGCGTGCATGGCAAGTATTACTGTTAATGTTTGTTCGTTTATTTTAATGTTTAACTTTATCAAAATATACAGTTTTTGCTTTTTTATTTTCTAAATGATATCTTTAAATGATTTATATCATCAAATGATTATCGTTATTTTTGATCATTGTTAATAAACCTTAATTATTAAAACGAATTTTTGACATTCTTTGTATTAAATTACTGAACATTTGTGAGTACACGATTTATTTGAAATTATTCTTTAATTATAATGATGGAAAATATTAAATATGAACAAAATAAGGATATTTTTAAAAATATGAATTACTTAATAATTATTGAAAATCTTAAAGGCCCATTATGCCTCAGAAATGCTATAATTTTTATTTCTCAAGAACTGTCTATTTTTGGTATCCTGTTACAGTTTCCAAAAATATACTCATTTGCTATATACATGAACTATCTTTTGCTTTTTTTAAGCTCTATTTGCAATTGATATAATTATAGTGAATTAGTATTTTGTATGGAAGTCATAATACTATTTTTTCAACTTTTTGCTGCCTTTACGACACATCACTGCATATTCAGCGCTATTTTTGTCCTTGTAAATTTTCTAACTTGCACGTAAAACATTATTTAAAAACTATTAAACAGTGTTTGACATTTCTAAAGAATGTAATAAATACTGATTCCTGGGGTATAATGAGCCTTTAAGTTTAAAGGTCTATTTTGCCCTAGAAATGCTTTTATTTCATTCCTCAAAAGCTTTTTATCTTTGGTGTATTTTTTTAGATTTTTAGTTATTCATTTTTCAAAGACTTTAACCATTTTTTTCATCTGTTGCTTTCTGTGCAAATAGTACAGTAATAGTGATTTAGTATTTTGTATGGAAGTCAAAATATATTTTTGTTTACATTTTGTTACTTTTAGTACAAACATCTTTACAAATATCTTTCTATTTAGTGCTACTCCTTTCAGGTAGCAAACATCTAAAATGCTCTAAAATTATTAATTTAACGTTAAAAATTCAATCCTAAACTTTCTAAGGAAGAAGAAATCTATTCATTTTTGGGACATACGTGTCTTTAATTGAATTGTCAATGTAATAAAACTATGCTTCTTCTTGTGAATCATTTGGGTTCAACCCCTTAAATGTTCATATAAAATAGTTAACTAGGAGAAAGTGTTTCTAACCGATTTGGTCAAGCAAAACTTGTTAAAAATACTTTTATGTTAATTAAAAATAAGTGCACTATTTCTTACAAAGAAGAAACAAATTAAGCATTATATGGTATCGATTTGATATTTGAAAATCCTATTATATTCGTAAAAGCATTTTTTTACACCCACCAGTGTTTTTGCGCGAACATAATATTGTTTTATTCGAAGAGTATTAAGTCGCAAAAGCGACACAAGTATGTGATATAAATGATAAAAGATTATTGTTATAAATTTGTAATCGCTCGGAAACGGTGAACCAATATTTATTTATTATTATTATACGAGGTCGTGATGTCAGATAAATATTGAATATGTTTTATTTCGTTTTACACAGGTTACCACTAAGAACCACTAAGGCAGACTAACATATAACTATGGCGTATACAGTAAACACTTCCCTCAGCAACATGTACAACGTCACTGAGAATGCGACAATACCGACAGGAACAGACGACACATTTATGACGTCACTTCTCACTACTTCCGCTCCAAAATCAATGTCCGTCAGTATCAGCACAAAGGTCAGCTACGTCACCGTGCCTGTATTCACGATACTCGGCTTAACCGGAAACATCCTCACATTGATAATCATGCGCACTAAGTACTTCCGACAGTCAACAACAAGCGTGTTCTTGTCAGCTCTTGCTTTGTCGGACACGACCTTTATTCTAATCAGCCCGTTTACTAAAACTTTTATGAAGGATTTATTTAATAGGGATCCTAAAGCACTGACTGAAGCTGGATGTAAGGCGTATTTCTGCATCTTCAGATCCGCTAAGATATGTTCATCGTGGTATGTTGTTCTCATATGTTTAGAAAGATTCATAGTGATTTGTTTTCCATTTCGCGCCAAAAGAATCTCCCGCCGGTACACGGCCGTCATCGCCGTATCTTGCGTGACGATTACTATCATTGCCTTTGATGGTGTTTGGACAATTACAAGCGGAATTGTGGATGGAAACTGTATACCAAGTATAGCCACAGAGTCCACGAAGGATCTCTCGGCTGCGTTTGTTGTCGCCGGAACGGCCATTTTTAACATAATCCCTACCTGCATCCTATTGTTCTTCACACCGTTAAGCATTGTACAACTTTTCCGACAGATGTCGTTCCGACGGGAAATGAGTACAACCGGCGCCTATGACGACACGCTTAAAATAACCAGAATGTTGCTTGCCGTAACCATAGCTTATATACTTCTGGTCACGCCAATATCCGTGGCCCATTCAGTTGCTTTCTTCAATGGAGACAATATATTTACATCTAAGGATCCAGATTTCGTCATATTCCGCGAGTTTGCCCAGACCTTTGAACAGCTAAATTACTCCGTGAATTTCTTACTGTATGTGGTATGTAATGGAACTTTTCGGCAGCAGTTTTATAATGTCATCTGTTGCAGACGACATGAAACCAGAAGCGCAGTTTCAAGACAGACTATAGTTCATAAGGACATAACAAACAAGTGTCCATCTTTCCTGTCGACTGATTCGACAAATGTGAGTCAGTCTAGCGAGTAGGAACGTTTGTTGGGCTCAGACCATATGACTAACGTCTACATTACTGTGTTTTGTATAGACGTGTTCGATTGTGAACTATTCCATCCATTATAGAACCATTGATATCCGATTTGATATGACCGTAGCATCTAATTTGCTGGTCCCCATATTTCTAAGGCGGACCATAATTGTTTCTTGGCCCAAAACATAATAATATCTTTTCCAGAGAATTTAATCTAAATTTATTTCTATATCCATAAGTATATTAACTTTGTTAAAGTGTCGTTAATATATTTATCATACACTTATAAATGAAATATTGATGAAATAAAATGCGTATTTTCATTTTCCGTGTTTTCATCTTAAAAGCTATTTTTTTCACTTCAGTGAAACATATTTTCCGTATTTTCACTGGAGTCTTGCCGGACTAATTTCTTCTTAGTTTAGCCAATACATAAAATTCAAGGGGAAGTCTTTCAAATTTTAATGTCTTACAAGGAGAAAATGTACATACATGTAATAAACAGAAAATTCAAGTTTTTTTCTACAAATGCAGGATTTATCTTCATCTTGTGGTATGAAAATTATCATATTTCACTCGTGGCTATCGTCATTCATAAAACATTTATTTTGCATACCACTCTATGCAAATAATTCCTGTATTTATAGAAAAAAACCTGAATATCTACTATTTATTGACACTAGGCATACTGCTTTGATTTTGTAGGCCACACATCGCCCCCGTTGGAACTCGTAGGGTTTTCACTTTTTCCATATGGACAGGCGGTTATTCATTATTTATATGAAAATGTTAATGAATGATAATTCAAACAAAGCTTTCGTGAGCCGTTTAATTAAACATGCGTAGACACTACAGGAACGAGCAAATGTACAGCTTTTAACACCGCGTGCTTATTGCCATTAAACATTACAAAATTACTTTAAATGCATACATGCATGAACTTTTGAAATAAATCTTTATTTTACAATAGTCTTTTCCGAAGCGTTTGTATCTTTCTTTATAACGTACGTTTTATGTAAACCCCTTTTCTTCTATTAAAGAAACTTTCTTTTTTTATGACATCATATGAACAGTTTTTCTTTGCTATTGTTATGATATTAAGGGTTCGTCAGATTTTCATCAGATTAAATGAATAAAATCTCAATTAAATTTCTAAGATGCATGGAGCTTTTAATTTTTGATTTTTCAAATTAATAGATATTCCACGATTATAAAAATGTAGCGCTTATTATAAAGCCATGTGACATTATCACATGTCAGCGCTCAGCTCCGTTAATGAGACCGGCTTGCGTTTATTTTATATTTATTGACAGTTATTGCAAATTGAGTTGAATTCGTATAAAAAAACAACAAAAAACAACAAAACAACAAAAAACAACAGAACAAACGTAACTGATGGTTTGTTGCTATCAATTATAAATGCCTTTACTTGATTTATAAACACGGACAATGACGAAAAAAGCCGAATGTACTCGATGAATGTGAGCACGTAAATTTTGTTGTGGAGTTTGCGATCATGTCATCTAGGCCAACATGTTTGAATTTTGCACATCGGTTGGGTTCTTTTATGTACAATGCTGAGGACATATGAGCCGTGTCATGACAAAACCAACCAAACATCGCTTACAAACCCTATTACACGTAGAGAAACTGATAGCGAACAGCATGGATCCTGATCAGACTGCGCGGATGGTCGCAAACCCATTATGTTGGTTTTGTCATGACACGGCTCATATGTTACCGTTTATGGTCAGTGTCCTCACGTCTATGAAATAATTCTGTCAACACAAACAAATACTAATACATTCACTTCTCCCAAACAGCTTGAAAACTGTGCAAAATGTACCTAATTAGTGCTGACGTGACTGGAAAACTTATCATAATTGATAAGAAATAAATGAAACCTATCTTAATTGAAAGGAAATTAAAAAAAAACGGATTAGAGCCAATCTTGATAATGATGCACTTGAAGAAAATATCTTTTTTTTTAGTAAGAGATAAGTATTTTAATCGATCCTAAGCCAAATGGATTACAACTGCGTAGAAGATTCTCGTCTAAGGATCGCAATAAGCAGTATTTTTCTTAGGGCCTATCTTGTAATTATGTCTGAAGTGAAGGCTGCAAAAGTCTTAATCGCCTACTTACTAATGGATTTGCCATTTATGAAAAATAAATAAATGTATGTTAGACAAGGCACGCACGTTAATTGTTACAACTGCAATTAGTAGATGCTGGGAATACTGGTGCACTTAAAACTGGGAAGTTGCTATATTGGTATGTCCAAGAAACCTATAAACTCATTATCTGTCACGTGATTTTTCAAAGGAATGTCTTTTTTGGGGATCTTTCAAAAGACAAGTTATAGTTATTATATAAAATAAATTATAAAAAAGTCCATAGCATGAAGTTTGCGTGATTACAAATTGATAATAATAAATAATAATAATAATAATAATAGTAAATATGAATAATAATAAAATAATTTTAAAAATAAAGGTACCACACCGGAAATACTATATCAATAAACTGATATCGGTATCTGATATTTTCAACAACTGATTTTAACTTCTAGTCGAGCTATTTTATCATATAGTTTGGTGGTTTTCCAGTATTCTTAACTGAATAGTGTGAATTGACACTTACGATATGTTGCCTGTTTTTTTAATTTGTCTTTTGATGGTTTTCCTGTGATATGCAGGCTTCAAACCATTGAATACTTTTCAAAATTCTATCTTATTTAGTTCCTTCCATTGTTTGCTAATTTGGGTATATACATTTTTTTCTTGGTGACCATACGCCGCTATTCATGGAATGGCAAGACCATGTATATAGCATTGAAGGTTCCATTAATGATGACCGCCGTTCGATGTTTCTGAATTCATTACTTCCCAATTTCATATTCTGCTTTAGCCAGTGCTAGGGAGCGTGAATGGTAGCACATATTTACACCTTTCATCCATTAACAGCTTTAATTAAATTGAAATTGAGTCTGTAACGTTTTCTGTTTTGCTGTTTTGGCGTCTTAAGCGATTCTGTTTGTCTCAATTTTAGATTAGTGGGTGTTTTTTTTATCGCATTACACCTTCATCTTAACGATTGCCACATCTTGTCACATCATAACCGATGTAATGAGAAGTATTAGAAAACTTTCAAAAATGTAATGTTTGCACATGATGCGACAAAGTCAGTATTACCAGATTGCTCAAAACAAAGTTTTGACTGTTGAACAATTTGGGAACATATCTGGTCTTAAAAATAATTTTCGCAAGTGTACTATAATAAGAACAGGATCACCTCGAAAACAGCACGATTTTAAAAGGAGATTGACTGTTAAATAGTTAAATATAAACAAGCAAAAACTCTTGGAATTACTTTCATCTCGAAACCAACACTCTTAAATTTGAAAAAAAGCATTTATAAAGACAACAAACACACGGTAAATTGGAAATTAAACACCATAGCAAATATTATAAGGTTTTACCAAAATTGACATATCATAAATTTCGAAACAAATTCAAAATATATGCAAATACAAAATCAATTAAATAGCATGATAAATTTGTGCTACATATCTGCCATAAAATTATTGCATAAATCCGTAAAAATTGTGTCAAGAATGACTTAAAAATGGTAAAAATGATACTTGCATAACTGCTCTAACACAAATTCAAAGAATGTTAGTAAACTGAAAACACATGAAACAATAGATCAAATAAAAAGTAACTAATATGAAAAAAAGAAGCGCAAGGGGTCACTTGGGTCAAGGTCACCGATGTTAAAAAGTATTGTTTTGCACCTGTGCTCTACAGCCTCTTTCTACTGACCGAGGTTGTTCATGTTTGGAAGTAACATAACTTAGAGGTCCCTTTCAATTTCATTGAGTAAGGGGTCACTCGAGTTTTAGTCACCGGTGCTTTAAGGGAAGCATCCATCATCTTTTACGGTATGTCTTGATTTCAAATACAAACAGGGTGCCATTTTAATAACAAAATTCATGTATGTATGACTCTAAAAAATATGATAATATTATGAATATGTATAATTTGTAACACTGATCATTTAGACAGGGAGAATGAATAGAGTAACTCTTATTTTTGGGACCTGAAAAAAAGGATTTCTTGTCATAGCCGTTAAAGTATCCATTAAATACGCTCATATAAACAACTAGTTGCAAGAACAAAATAAGATTTCATTAAGCATCAACATTTTATTAGTTTTACTGGAACAGTTTTTTCAACTAAAATGTACTGTTACCTTTAAACGTTTTTCACTGTGTCACAGTAAAATGTCCTTGATTTAAGTGCAATGCTTGTTAACGACATTTTTATTACCAGTCACTTATTTCGTAACGTTTAAAACATTTTAGTTTCAACAATATGCTGATGTTTGTCCATTGGAATGTCGTAATGGTTGTCAATGAGAATTTCTAGACAGATATTTGCAATTATCAAAGACATAAACAGGTAATAGTTTTCTCAATAGAATTTCTTACCATCTAAAAAGCCCACGAGGATATACATATCAAAGAATAAAAGTTCAAACAATGAAACTAAGATAACTCTTGGTCGCTCCGTAAGAGATTTTAAGTGGCGCAAAAACTAACGTGTTAACAACATGCATATAAAGAGAAAGAAAAGCACAAGTACATGTATAAGCACAGTAAATAAAAAAGAAGCCCCAAATCAACACTATATCTATGTTTTAAGTCATCTGAAATGCGTCCTCTTATTTCAAAACCCGATTAAATTTTGGTCCATTTGCGCTTAAACTTTGGATATAAATATTGATTATTTTGATAAATAACTTAACTTAGTTGTTAAGAAGTGAACCACTCAACACAGGAGCCGTTGGTTCGGGTGCCAGTGGGTCACGATCTTATAAATTTTTTTGGTCATATGAAATCAATATTGTTTAGTCACTGGCGGAGGACCAAAGGTAATAATCTGAATTAGTTTATAGGTTTCGTCACAATCTATCGAAGTAATCTATCGATGTAAAAGTTGTAATGACAAAATTGTTTATGCCAAAATCAGTCGTGCTTACATAGTGACATTTGATGTATTCAATACGTTTTTTTAAAATGATTTTTGTTAGATTTAAAATCAAATGAATCAATTAAAATCAATAGTGGGTATTCGATAAGAAATAAGGCCTGTAATATTCTATCTTATAATGTCGAAAGAAAAGAAATTCTGTAAGGGTCCAATTTGGAAAATTTGATTGAAAATCAAGCTTATGCAGAAGGATTGCTTGATTATGAAGAAGAACAAATGACTTCATTTTTTCAGATTCAAGCGTT